CTTTAGCGTATTTTATTAAAAATAAAAAATTAATAAAAAAAATATTTTATTTTCATATATATATTGAGGGGAAAACCATGTTACAATAAGTTAAAAAAATATGTTTTAATTTAAAACTGATATAAGACCCATTCAAAAATATTTGTCATTATAAAAAGGGAAAGATTGTTGAATCTTATGAGCTTGAAGAGTTTACTGATAATTTAATATTATAAATATTATTAGTTGTGATGATTTTGAGCTAATGAATTTGTATGAATAAGTTTTCTAATTAAGCTAAAATTTCATGTTAATCAAGCAATGAAGGTCAAATGGTATTGGGATGACAATCACATAGGTGCACTCATCCTAAATTGAAATAGGTAAGACATCAAGGAAAAAGGAAAAGAAGACTGTCAATGAGAAAAACGAATGCATTTTTTTTCCATTTTGTTGAGCCATTTTATATAAAACAACCAATTATGCACACATACAAAAGATAAATTAATTTTATAATTTGCTTAAAAAATTAATTGATTAAATAATTTAATTAATGACAAATTGCACTATATTACTTGCATCATACTGTAAAAAATGCAAGACATTTTTTAAAATTTAGAAAATTTAAGCCGTATTAATAGAATTTTAAAAATTAAAATTTCAAAACTAATCGTATTATATGATACCAATAGACTGCCTAATCAATTATAATCAAACCAAATAGCTGTTATCAATTACTTTCAAAAATAGATAAATTTAAAATTTAACTAATCATACTATACGATACTAATTATAATGTATGATTTCATATACAATTTACCTAATTAAGGGCAAGTATCAAGGAACATAATAAAAATCGAAGCTAAAAAATATAATACTATAAAAGAATGATCATATAGGCCAATCAAAGATTTTTCCTGAAGTTGGCTAAATGTATTTATCAAAATATACAATGTCAATCGTATAGTCCGAATAAATAGACTCGGTTTTTTAGAGCTTGAGGATGATTGTGCTAATCATATTGTATGGTTCTAGGATCAGACAGATGATCTAGCTATCATGTTTAATAAATAGCAATTTTTAGGGTTCTTAATTAAGCCATCATATAAATATAACTTAATAGAAACCCTAAAGACTTAAAAAAAGAGGTTGCCAAGAGGTATGAGAAATTTGTGAGAAAATTTGTTCTTTGCAATCTTTCTTGTGAGTTTTTTATTTTTCTTTGAGAATTCTTATGTGAGGCTACAGTATTGGTTCTCAAATCATATCCTTTCATTCCTTTGATTTAAGAGTCCGGAGCTCCTAGGTTAAAAGCTTCTTGAGCTTTTTTTTGTAAAGATCGTGGGGATCTCGTGGAGTTCTTTGTGTTCTGTGGATGTAACCTGTGAGAATAGGGTTGGTGTACTTTTCTCAAGATAAAGAGAGAGAGAGAGAGAGAGCAAAATTCTCAAATAGAAGACTACGAGAGTAGACATAGGCCAGTAGATCGAATTACAATAAATTGGTTTGCATTCTTTTTTTCTTTTTTGTACTTTTTTTGCTGCACTAGTGCTTTAGTCTTTAGTAGTGTTATTATGATGATTATAATGTAAAAACTTTGAAATTTTGAGATCTTCTTGAAAAATAATTGGCTGAAGAAAATGGAAAGAAGGATTAAGATAAGTAAATATGAAAGTGAGGTTAGATGAAAAAGGTAAATTAAAAGCAACAGTCGACATCATAACAAGAAATTCAGGCTGATGGGATAAAGGCTCTGAATACTAAGACTGGGCCAATTAATAGAATTATCATTTTATATTTCCAAGGTTATAAGGGCTTGTATGTGGGATGTCAAATGCATGTGTGCTTGTGAGTTGCATACACGATTCTGATGTTACAATAAGCCGTGAAAGTGGATATTGTTTTTCTAGCACAATTTAAGTGCATGGGGGCATTGAATAGCTTGTGATAGTGAGGTAATGAAACTCGATTACTTTCAAAAGATAGATTAAACAATGCATAATGTACTTCGTAGATATTTCACACATATTGAAAACTTGTTTACTGATCTGAGGATTCCAACAGGCATAAGCCAATGATTAATCACCCATCCCACACATAAGAAAAAACGATTGATTAATGAGTTTATAATGATATAATTTTGTATCGATGTCTTCTTATTTTGGTGTAACTTGATGCGTAGTGTTAAAAGGATGGAGAGAATACTGATAAATCCTATTAAGGTACAACAGTCTCATCTCTATGGTATTATTAGATGAACCCCAATCAAAAAATATAGGAAGTCCTGGCAAGGGGTGTAAGTGAGCCAAGCCGGCTCGATCTCGACGCATTAATGAGCTCACGAGTCGAGCTTATCAAGCCATAAGTTTGAGCTCGAGCCTATACTCGAGCTTGTATATTAAACAAGCTCGAGCTCAAGCCTGGCTCGACTTAAAAGCTCGATGAGTCACTCGATTAAATAAAAAATGTATTTAATAATTAATTTAAATTAGGATTATATAATATATTCTAATAACTTTAAATTAATTCTATATTAAAATTTACAAATTCTAAAAAAAAATAATTTTTTAATTTAAAACTAAGAAATTGAGCTTAATAATCGAGTCGAGCTCGAGCTTTCTAAACAAGCTCGAGCAATCGAGTTGAACTTAAGCCTGTGAATTTTTTAACAAGCCGAGAATGAGCTCAGTAACAACTAAACAAGCTTAGCACGATTAAGCAGATACTTGACTAGACTCGACCCATTTACACCCCTAGTTCTGACTATGAGAATATGGTTTAAGGGAAAGGGAAACATGTAATGAAATAATAGGCATTGGTTTAGGAAGCAGGAAGTGACCATTATTACTAAGTCATGGAGCTTGTTGTGTTGGTTTTGAGCAAATGAACTTTGAGTGAGATTGGTGGTCTCCCTGTTAGGAGTCATAAATTTCCTCATCTAACGCAATACCTTGAAATTGGGAGTGGCATTATATGAAAGCACATTTATCATGGAAAACCTTGATTCTCTTTGTTGGAAAATGGCTTAACAAATCAAATAGACTAATTGGCTCATAGGCACAAGGCATGGCATAATGAAGTTCGGAGAAATTGATCATATAGCCTAACCAACCGTACATGGCCAAATTTTAAATTTCCCTATAAATGATGCTCTTAAAATAATTTTGGGTTTTTATGTATGATCTGTGAGCGACTAGCGAAGCTTCACCCAACCCTAGATACTAATGAGGATTTAGCTTTTAAATTTGAATGCTAGGATAATACGCTAAATATTATATGTATATGTAGGCCTTTTAGGTTGTTAGACTTGGATAGATGGCACCTTACAAGACTCAAACTAGGATTAATTTGCTTAAAGGCTTCAACCATGATAGGTTTGGAACAGATGTTGACAGTTCTTTGAAGAGTACTATAAGGAGATTAAGAGACAATAAAACTAATGAATGGATGAACAATATAAGTATTCTTTAGAGTTTGAATGATGCCTTCCTCCTCTTGGAGGTTGCTTCTCCTTCTTCCTCTACATTTAGTTCTCTTCTTCTCTTTCCTTCTTTCTGGTAGGAATTATTTTCCTTTTCCATCAGAGTCACATACGGAGAGAGACTGGTGGGAGAGAGAGAAAACGAGGACAATGAGAAAGGCATTAGCCATGGGCCTCAAGGAAGATAGTTCCCATGGAGGAATATTAATTTCCCATTAAAGTGCCATTGAAAAAATTATAAATAAAGATTTTAATTATAAATTCTAAGGAATAACAAAAAATTCAAATTCTAACTAATTATAACTTATGAGTATGAAAATAGGAATCGTCGTTAAAAAAACTTATCTCCTATTTAACATGCTTATTATCATCATCTTTGACAACTCTTTAATATTTTCTTGATATAATATTAATAATATATTCATTTTCGATATGAGTTTGATGACCTTTATTATTTTAATAATAAACTGATATTTGTATAACTAAGTATCGGCCACAAAAATGACTAAAATAAAACAAAAAAGATGAGAAAATCTCGTGTAGCTTCTTTTGTGACTTGTTTAGCTTTGATGCAATTTTCCATGCAACTTGGTCAACCCTAACCATATAAGCAACATCAATCCAAGTAGGTCTGCCTCGTAGAAGGCTTGTTCTCATGCCTACATATGGCTAAAAGCTCCATTAATGTACTACTATGATTTAGTCTCCATTCTTAAGTATATCCTTATCCAGTCTACTAAATCGCTAACTTAGTTTCTTCCACATTCCTATCTTTTAATTTCATTAGTCAACCATAGAATTTCAAAGTTAAGGTTCCCAATTGTAAAAGATAGGCACCTACGAAAATGATTTGATATTATCCTTCCATAAACAAATTGTAAATCAAGGCTAACCTTATAAATTCTTGATAATTTCAATTGTTGCTCCACCCAACATAGCTACTTTGATTATTGGAGCATTCTAGCCCCTTCTACATCTAGAGCTGAACTGAACAGGTTGTCACACTTTTCACTTCAATCGTGGATCCAACGTCAAGGTTGGATAAGATAATTAGATCATTACTGGTATTGTCCTTTTCAATCCCATATCACTGATCTGTCTAGATAAATTTCAGCTGCCATTCTTGAACAAGCCGCTTCTTCTGGCATCAACAATATCAAATATAACTCTATGTAATGACCATCAACATCCATGCATCAACTTTGATAGCTCCTTTGACAGCATTGTATTTAAGTTTAATTGGGAAAAGCTCACGCCTATTCCAATTTTTGAATTTCCCATCTAAAATATTTGCCACTTTCAGCTTTACTTAATTATGTTTTTGATATAAAAAAAGCTACGACAAATGAAATATATCATCTCTATCCCTGCTCAATTTCTCGGACACAGTAACAAAAACTTTAGAGAAGAAAAACAGTAAATGAGAGTGTAAATCACTAGGAATAACCCATTTATCATTTCCAAAACTCTGTCAATAAGAATTTCTGCTTAAAAAAATTCAAAAGATATATATTGTGTAAAGATGAATTTTGAACAGTACCCATATCCAGGTAAATCCACCAGATACCAGCTATCATTTATCCGGAAATGATTGATGCACTGTGTTTTACCTGCAGCTCAAGAATGACGTTGATCATTCAAGCACAAATTACAGTAGGTAAGAAAAACCGTGATTGGGAGGCGTGGTAGATATAGATAACAAAAATCGGTGAACCCACCAGGTTTCTTGGAGATGAGGGCCAGGCGCTTGCGGCGGACGAGTGAGTTGAGGAGGGAGGACTTCCCAACGTTGGAGCGACCGACGAGAGCGAAGTCCGGGAGAGAGCCGGCGGGGCAGTCCTCGGTGCAAGTGCTGCTCTTCACGAACTCCGCAGTGCTCACCTGGGCATCCCTCGAGTATGATCCCAGCACGATGTTGGAACCCTTGAGAACCCTACCCCTGGCCACCGAGGTCGCCGTTGCCGGTAGCTCAACTTCCGGCGGCACGAAGAGCTTATCGAGAGGGATCTCGAGCAGAGTTTCGTCGGGGATCGGTGGGTGAAGAGGCTTGTCGAGCTTAAATAGTTTGGGGACGGGGGCAAGGTGGGATTTGGTCGCAACTGAGGCGGCGACGGCTACGTCGGAGGAGGAAGAAATGGAGAAGAAGGGAGAGTGGAAGGACAGATTGAATTTGAAGGTAGGTAAGTTGGAGGAAATAGAGTAGATGCGAGGGAGGATGCGGTGTTGATGGCGGAGCACCATGCTAATTCTCGTTCTTGGTGCATCTACTTGAGATTGGTTTGAAAATTTCCATTTTATATATCTCATGTACTAAATATTCTCAACATTTATGTTGCAACCATCTTTAGTTCAAGATTGGTGATGCTATAATTTTAGCTATTTAAATTTTTATAATAACATAACTCATCTTGGCATGTTGGTTGGGAGAAACTATTGTGTGCGGATACCGAACGATCTGGAGACCAATCAGAACATGTCACGTCATCCGGTACACAGCGGTACCGAGCTGCGATACCAAGCAAAAAAGTGACGTGGTGCATTCTTGTTAGTCTCCGGACACCATACGGGGTCCGCACTGAATAACTTTTCGTTGGTTGGAGGCTTTGGCTACTAACCAAGAGGTCTCGAATTTGAAACTTGCATATGTGATATGTGTGTGAGTATGCTTAATGGCAAAAATGTCCCAAAAAAATCAGTAATTATAAATTATGATATAAAAGACACTATAGGAGTACCCTATTTAAAAAAAAAAAAAAAACGGTTCAAACTTATAATAAGGACTTGAAACCCTAAATCCTAAATATAAGTAGACATCACATTATTGATTACAACCAAATCCAAACATTATTCAAATAATGTTTCAACTTATTTGAATCTTATTCAAACCATATTTGAAATTTGATTCAACTAAACAAATCATAAGATGGGTGTTGTTGTGTCCCGGAATATTCACGGCGGCAGAGAAATATAAAGTTTAACATCTTAGTTTTGTACGAAGATCTAGCACACATACAGATAAGAGAGATGGTGTAGCATTCATAAGAGATCAAGATTTTTACGTGGAAAATCCTGAAAAGGGAAAAAACTACAGGGCCTGGCCTAGTTTGAATGAATCCAGTATTATTTGTAGTCGATTACAAATTAGGCCCTTCATTTGGGGAAGGTCTTGGCTTGATAAATATACATCATATAAAATGTATTACATGCTGAGACTTGAAAGAATCACTATTTGATGTGTTCATTTGGTCGGTAAGAGCATAGTCGGCGAGCGATAGTAGTAGGAAAGATTGTAGTCAGGTAATGCTGGTCGGAAGGATCGTCAGAGGGTGATGGAGGTCGCAAGGATCGTAGTCGGCGGGCGATAGTGGTCAAAAAGATCGTTGTCGGAGGCCGACAGAGGTCGGAAGGACTGTAGTTGGCAGACGACAGTGGTCATAAAGACCGTTGTCGGAGGGCGACGAAGGTCAGAAAAACCATAGTGTGAAGGTGACAGAGGTCCGGCATCAATTGGTGGGCGTGCAAAAGTACGACGTCAGTTGGTTGCCGGGTAGAAGTTCGGCATCAGTTGGTGGTCAGATAGAAGCCTGACGTCAGTTGGTGGCCAGGCGAAAATTCGGCGTCAGTTGGCGGCCGTAGATGTTCGGCGACGGGCGCAAGTCCGACGAAAGTCCTGTGAAGGGCATAAATCCGGCGTCGGGTAGAAATCCAGTGACGGGAGAAAGTACGGCGTAGGGTAGAAGTCTGAAGAAAGTCTAGCAACAGGTAGAAGTCTGACGACGAGCAGAAGTCCGACAATGGAAAGAAGTGGGAGAAAAGTTTGGCGACGGGCGGAAGTTCGACATCAGGCATAAGTCCGATGAACGTTTGGCGATAGGCAGAAGTCTGGTGTTGTGTAGAAATCTAGCGATGGGCAGAAGTCCGGAGATGGGCGGAAGTCCGGCGACGAGCGGAAGTTCGACGTCGGGTAGAAGTCCGACGAAAGTCTGACGACGAGTGGAAGTCTGGCAATGGGAGGAAGTCTGGCGTCGGGTAGAAGTTCGACAAAAGTCCAACAACGGGCAGAAGTCTGACGATGGGTGTAAGTCCAACGAAAGTCTAGCCACATGCAGAAGTCTGGCGACGGGCTGAAGTTCAACGTCGGTTAGAAGTCCAATGAAAGTTCAGCAACGGGGAGAAGTTCGGCGATGGGCGGAAGTTTGACGTCGAGTAGAATTCTTGCGAAGGGTCAAAGCCCGGCGTCGGTCGGTGGCCAGGAGGTAGTCGAGGAGGAAATCAGATGGCAAGAGAACCCTTCCTTCTCTTCCTTCTCTTCTTGCTTGGGCCTCCTTCCTCCCCCTAAGATGAATGAGGGGTCTATTTATAATTTTTTAAGAGTGTCATAGCCAGTAAATAGAATAGAGATTAAGGGTAAATTGGGAGTGGTTTGAACAGACGACCAATATTGATCCCCTTTGATCATAGATCATTTATCAAGTATTTGAGTGCATTAGAGATATCAGAATTTGGCGATCTTGGGCTTGTTGGATTTGTCTTGGAAACCGTTTGGTAATCTAAATTATGTTTTGACATTTCCAAATATGCTTCGAGTTTTCGATTTGGACACAATTGGACTCGGATTGAATCGAATTTGGTGTTGTTGGGTTCGTATTTCTGAGACGTTCAATTCGACTGTAAGTTTGCTGAAATTGGAGTTCATATGGTCTCCGATTTAATTTTAAAGTTTCCAACTTGATTTTGCATCGAGATTCATGCCCTATCAACATAATTTTTTTAATGATATATCAGGTGCAAATATGTGTGAAGTGGTGCGATACTAATTTATTTCAAAAATCTTCCAAACTTAAAAACCTTACACCAGCTTAAAATATATGAGTGTATTACCTTACACCAGCTTATAAGAATATTTCTAACATACATCAGCACATAATTGTCCAAAATAAAATATGATTGGTGTAAATAATTATATAAAAAAAGACTTTGACTTAGTTTAAGAATCATTAATCAAGTATATCACCACATGAATATAGAATACTATAAAATATAAATAAAGTAAATGTGGAAGTTAGTAAACCAAATTGTAGAGTAATTGGACACAGTCGATTTTTAGGTGATTTGGCTAACTAACCTACATCTACACTAGCCAAACAAGATCCCACTAATGCTTACTAATAAAACAAATTTCCTTCACTCATGAGTAGGTGGAGAAACCTTTCACACGAGCTTTTTTTTTTTGGATAGTTAGGGGATTCGAGCTAGGGTGAGAGGGGAGGAATTACTTCTGTCGACCATCCGGCCGCGAGCCTGATCTCCTTTCACACGAACTTCCTGGGAAATGGAGGCATAACTTTTTAGGGTAACTGGACACGATTGGTTTTTATGTTATTTGACCACCTAACCTACTTTTATGCCTAGCCTCTTTTGACATTAGGGCCCTAATAATACTTACTAATTAAATAATTGTTCTTCACTCCACAAGCAGACAAAGAAACCTTTTATACCAACTTCCTCCTTTGAGGCAAGTTACTTCAACTCATAATCATCTCTATTTGGTCACAATATTCCTTCTTCAAGGTGAGGAACCAACCACTTCTAATCATTTTCACTAAGTCGCAATATTTTTACTTCAAGATGATGCACTTGCCACTCTCAGAACAAACCACTTAGGGGTGTCAATATTCAACACAACCCGAAAACCCGATCCAAAATTTTAGGGTTTGGGTTAGAGATTTTGACCCATTTGTAAACCTGGTCGGGTTGACCCGGAAACCCGAAATCAACCCGATTTGACCTGGACCGATTGTTTCCCACCCTGTTTGGTGTCGTGTCAGTCGTTGAGTCGCTCCATTTGTCATGTTGTCAATCACAATGTCACATCTCCAGACCATCCCGATTTGAGCTTGTCAGCGTCGCTGCCCTCGCAAGCCTGCTACGGCTACTCATCCCGGTGATGCCCTCTCACGCTATTGCGATCGGTTGTCCCATGATAGTTTGGAGTTCCACGTTTGTCATGAGTCGTAACCGTCGGCCGGCCTGCCGTGACCATTCGCCTACCGTTAGCCTGCCAATCGCGTGCTTCTTCTTCCAGTTCCTCCTTTTCATGTTGGGTCATGGATCAGGTAAGCCAATTCTGGTTAGGACTCAAACCCGACCCATGACCCGATTTCTACGGCTAATCATCCCGACGATGCCCTATCACGATGTTGCGACCGGTTGTCCCGTGATAGTTTGGAGTTCCACGTTTGTCATGAGTCGTAACCGTCCGCCGGCCTGCCGTGACCATCCGCCTACCGTTTGCCTGCCAATCACATGCTTGTTCTTCCAGTTCCTCCTTTTCATGTTGGGTCATGGATCAGGTAAGCCAATTCTGGGTAGGACTCGAACCCGACCCATGACCCGATTTTGACTGTCCTAAAACCACTTGATAATGAAAACTATATATATAAATTAAACATTTAAACCAAAACTTTATTGACCTTTGGAGGTGGCTCAATGAATTTCAATAATAAATAAAGCTTATTACAGAAATTGATTATAGGATGAATATAATAAGAGCAATCAAATATAATAAAACGTTAAAAAGATTTAAGTAGGGAATATTTTACAAATAGCTAAAGAAATTTTATGGTAATTATGAAAACTTTGAATCTTTCTCATAATTCTCTCTCGAAGATTTCATAATATAAGCTCTCTTTCTTGATTTTTGCATTAGTTATTTTTATTATAAATCCTTAGGTTATATAACCTTTTGTGCTATAAAAAAATTGATCAATTGGTATATATATGTTAGGGTTACATAAAGTAAGCATTACTAGCAGTTATACTTTACAAATAACTCATAAACAATTAGTTTTTAGCAAATTGTACTATGTGATTCATATTATACTGTATGATTCACATCTTATAATAAAATTTAGATTTATATACATAAAGCTAGAGAACTAAAAATCTCTCTTGCATTTTCAAGTTATCGTCCCTGACAATTATCATCAGCAATCTCTGCCATCATCGTAAGATTTCTGCTAATATTTAACTCTGTTGTTGGGTTCCAATTGTCTGCTTGCGGACACTATATTTCTATAATCCTACAAAAGAGAAATCTTATGTTTTATTCTAAAATTGTTCTCTTCTTCTTCAACAATAAAGAATGAATAATTCTTCTATTTTCTGATATATAGTGGCTTTTTCAACTGGGTAAGATCCCGTGATTTTTTTCTTTTTCGGATTTTTGCATTTAAAAAATTTACGATCTTATAACTTTTATCTATGTATACTAAATTTT